AACAACAGTATACACATATACACAATGATAAAACTGTACAACAAAACACATACAGTACAATTAATCTTACATTCATCTCTTTTAAAAAGAAAAGTAAAAACAAGTTTTAAAACTCTCACTTACTACAAACAACATATTGACTAACTATCAAATTATCTCCCTGAACAAACAATCTCTAGTTTATGACACACGCAGAGAGCTGACTTGACTATGGGACTGGCTGCTCATAGCCACGGGGGTCGCTGCATGGAGTCGTAGGGGGGCCTCAGTCCCAGGGCGGCGGGGTGGTGGTAGGAGCCCGGGTACAGTCCCTGGTGCAGCAGGTACTGCTGGTAGGCGGCGGGGTCCATGAGCGCCTGCGCCAGGCCGTGCGGGTAGGCCGAGGCCGCCGCGGCCGCGCGCTGCGCCTGGTGCGCTTGGTGCGCCTGGTGCGGCTGGTGACTGAGGAATGGGAAGCTGGCCGCGGTGGGGACCGTCACGTCGGCGCCGTCCGCCGCGGCCGCGGGCCGGTGCCCGTAGAAGCCGGCGCCGGCGTACGACGAGTACGAGTCCTTGTCCGCGTACAGCCCCAGGCCGGACGTCGGGCCGAAGTTGAAGGCGCTGCCGGGCAGGACGCTGGGCACCTTGGGCACGTCCTGGACCGGGCCGCCGGCGTGGCCCGCCTTGAGCGCGTAGTGCTGGAAGGCCGTGCTGCCGGCGGACGGCGCGCTGCCCGCCGCCTCTGCCGCGGCCGCGGCGGCCGCCGCCGCAGCCTCGCTGGCCTTGGCCGCCTTCTGCCGGTTCTTGGCCTCCTGCTTGGGCGTCGTCACGACGGGCACGGGCGGCGAGTGGGCCGCGGCGGCCGCGGCCGCCACCTGGCCCTTGGTGGGGTAGACGGGCGCGGGCGGCGCCGCCGCGGGCGCCGACGAGGGCTGGCTCTCCCGGAAGGCCGAGCCGTGCGCCGACCCCGGCCGGCCGAACAGCGGGCTGGTGAGCGGGCTGGCGCTGGGGTTGGTGGGGTAGTAGGGCCTGGGGTACACGTCCATCATGTGCGACAGGTGCTGGTGCAGCGCCGCGGTGCCGGCCGAGCTGACCGCCGAGGTGACGGGCGTGAAGGGGCTGCGGCCGCTGCGCGGCGCCACCTCGCTCACGGGCGTGAAGGGGCTGCGCGCGCCGCCCACCGGCACGCCCACCGGGACCCCCGAGGAGAAGGGGCTGCGCGGCAGGGGCAGCCCGGACGGCGGCGCGCTCGACGAGCTGCTGGAGGAGGCGGCCGGGGAGGCGGCGGCCGGCGCCGGCGTCACAGTCGAGGTGGCCGAGGGCGTGACGGTGGACGGCGCCGGGAAGTTGGACGCGGCCGCGGCGAACGTCTCGGCGTAGTGCCGCTTCTTGACTGGGAAGGATGAAACCGGCGTGCGACTCCTCGGCTGTGCTTGTTGTTGCTGCTGTTGCTGTTGTTGGGCGAGCAGCTGTTGTTGCTGCTGCTGTTGCTGCTGCTGCTGTTGTTGGGCCAAATATTGTTGTTGATGTTGCTGCTGCTGGACTAGGAGTTGTTGATGAAGTTGTTGCTGTTCGTGTTGTCTTTGCAGGTACATTTGTTGTTGCTGTTGCTGCTGTTGTTTCTCTTGCTGAAGTTTCTGCATCATCAGTTGCTGTTGCTGCTGTTGTTGTTTCTCCTGCTGAAGCTTTTGAATCATCAACTGCTGTTCTTTCTCTTTCTGCATTATGAGTTGTGCTTCTTTCTCCTGCTGAAGTTTCTGCATCAGCAACTGTTGATCCTTCTCGTGCTGGAGCTTTTGCATCATCTGCTGTTCTTTCTCCTGTTGTTGAAGCAAGATTTGCCGTTCTTTCTCCTGCTGGAATTTCTGCATCATGAGTTGTTGCTCCTTGTCCTGCTGAAGCTTTTGCATCATCTGCTGTTCTTTCTCCTGTTGCTGAAGCAAAATTTGACGTTCTTTCTCCTGCTGGAATTTCTGCATCGCGAGTTGTTGTTCCTTCTCCTGCTGCAGCTTTTGCATCATCATCTGCTGCTGTTGCTGCTGATGTTGTTGCTGTTGCTGCTGCTGGAGGAGCTGCTGCTCCTTCTCCTGCTGCTGCTTGATGAGGGTCTGCTGCAGCAGGTGCTTGTGGTGCAGCTGGTACACGGGCGCGGGGGACGCGTGTGGCGTGGGCCGGTAGGGGCCCGGCTGGACCGGCGCCAACCCCGCGGCCACGCCCCTGCTGGCCAGGTAGGGGTCCTGGTACTGCTGCTGCTGGTGCTGGTACGCGCGCGCCTGCTGCACCTGCTGCGCTTGCTGCACCTGCTGCGCCTGCTGGTGGTAGTGGTGTCCGGGGTGCGCGTAGCTCTGGCCCTCCTTGGGAGAGCCATGGGCTGGCGCCATGGGGTGCGGGTGACCCGTCGGGGACCCCATGGCGTGTGACGGCGACCCCACGGCCGGCGAGTGGGACGGAGACCGGGTGTCGATCTGCAGCCGCTGGTCCATGGGCGAGCCCGCGTGCATGGGCGAGCGCGAGTCGGCGTGCATGGGCGACCTCGAGTCGATGGGCGACCGCGAGTCCATGGGTGAGCCCGAGTGCAGCGGCGACCGCGTGTCGATATGAAGCCGGGCGTCGTGCGGCGACGAGCCAGCGTGCAGCGGGGAGCGCGAGTCCATGGGCGACCCCGCGTGCATGGGCGAGCCGACGTGCATGGGCGACCGCGAGTCCATGGGCGAGCCGACGTGCATGGGCGACCGCGAGTCCATGGGCGAGCCGGCGTGCATGGGCGAGCGAGAGTCGATCTGCAGGCGCGGCTCGTGCGGCGACGACCCCGCGTGCAGCGGCGACCGGTGCTCCGCGGGCGACTGCGAGTGCATGGGCGAGCGGGCGTGCCCGTCCATGGGCGAGCGGGCATGCCCGTCCATGGGCGAGCGGGCGTCGATGTGCAGCCGGGGTGACTCGGCCTCCATGGGCGAGCCGGCGTGCATGGGCGACCGGGTGTCGATGTGCAGCCGCGAGTCCAGCGGGCTGCGGGCGTGCGCGTCGGCGGGCGACTCGGCGTGCATCGGCGACCTGCCCTCCACGGCGTGCGCCGTATGGGGCGAGTGCGAGTGCAGGTCGATCTGGAGGTGCGACGGCGACCTGGCGTCCTGGTGCGCGGGCGAGGGCGACGCCACAGCCACCGCGGCAGGCGAGGGTGCGGGCGCCGGGGAGCACGGCTGCTGCTGCTCGCGCTGGGCGTTGGCGTGCAGCTCCGAGGGCGTGTAGGGCGCCGGCGAGTAGGGCGGGTACAGCGGCTGATGGTAGCTGGGGCCCGCCGGGCTGGCCTGGTGCGGGTGCATGTAGGTGTGGCTCTCCGGCCCGTCCCGCGGACTGCTGATACTCTTGTCTGGGCTCTTGTAAGTCGTGTCCTGCGAAATAAAAAGATAAATTTTAAGGCAAGGGCAAGACCAAGATCATAATTGGTTTTAAAAAAATCGCATCGTGACCCAAAATCCCAGAAATACGGAACAGTTGCTAGAGGTACTTCACACATTCTTCCAGCATAAACTTAAGTTCGATTGTATATTTAATGCACTTGAATAGTGATGTTAAAAACTAAAGACATTTTATTTTTTGGCGCGAACTCACATCGAAATTTTTAAGCAGACAATTAATTGAACGTAACTGACCTGATAGAAGCCAACTCGTATTGTGCTTTCTACGTTCGTAGAGTAAGCCTGAATGGGTCGGTGTGTCTCCGGGGATCGGTTGAGAGGCGACGGGAAGGGAGCCGGGTAGCTAGGGGAGCAGCCATCGTTCTGTTCCTGGCTGAAGGACGACTTCTCAGACACACTACTCCCGGTGCTGAGCTTCCGCTGGCGCCTTCCGGGTGTCATGGGAACATCCTCCAAGTCATCGCGTCGGTATGGAGTGTCGCTTCCCAGGCTGTCTGTTGTGACAAACGAATTTAAAAACCCAGATTAACACGACTGTGAGGCTCGTCTAAAATACACTATTATATATATTCGCGCCAACGGGTTCACACGTACCTTGGGCAGGGGACGCTGATGTCCGTGTGATGTCTAGAGTGGCTGAGAGTTCAGGCTTTCTTCTTACTGCTGCGGTGGTAGGTTGCGACTTTGGTGCCCCAAATGCCTTGAACCATGCACTTAGATTAGGAGTGGGGTTTGGTTTTTGTTTCGGCTTGAATTCTTTCTCTTCCTCTAATTCTTCCTCTTTCATTTTCTTCAAATCTTCTTCCTGTTCCTTGAGCCTCTTTCTCTGCCTTTCAAGTTCTTCCTCTTCTTTCTCTCTCCTTTCTCTCTCTTCTGCTTCCTCTCTCTCTCTTCTTAATGTGGCTTCGAGCAAAGCTTTTTTCTGGGCAGCTAGATATGCTTTTTCTTTGTCATCTTCAGTTTCTGCATCATTTGGAGATGAACCACCATCC